GAGGTCATGGACTTGTGGGTGTGGGGGCAGGATCTTGAACTTTCAACTGGGTGGGGAAAACCGGGAAGCTTTCAGATTTGGGTTTTCCCAGATGTGCCAACATGGCTCTCTTAATAAATTGGAACTTTGAGGAATACTTTGCCTTGGACTCTGATTTAATTCTGGATGTTGCAACGGTAGTGGGAAAAATGGTCAAAAGTCACTTTTCAGTGCCGTTGTAACTTTGAACAGGCACTAAACAAACTACTGGAAATCGAGGATTAATGGTATTGTGAAGATCACATCCTTTTGCTAGTTCTCACATCCCCACCTTCCACTGCAGGTGTCAGGGTTCCAAATAGCATCCAGAATTAAATCAGAGTCCAAGGCAAAGTATTACTCAAAGTTCCAATTTATTAAGAGAGCCATGTTGGCACATCTGGGAAAACCCAAATCTGAAAGCTTCCCGGTTTTCTCCACCCAGTTGAAAGTTCAAGATCCTGCCCCCACACCCACAAGTCCATCACATGGTCCAATGTTTCACTGCCACCCTGGCAGCTTCCACCCATCCAGTTCCGGTCATGTGCAGAGGTACAAAGACAAAGGATGACCTTGGCTTTCTAGAAAGAATTTTGTTATGGCTACATAGCGTCTAATTCCTACAATCCCCCCTCCCATTTTCCCATAATAGAAAAGGCATAGCAGAATAATAGAAAGTGTGGCAGGCCAAAGACCCAAAAGAAAAGATGGCTGCAGGCCTGACAGCCGGTTCCTAGAGCCACACGTACCATTTATCTTCCCCAGAGGAGCACAAGGTTTACATCACTTACCTCTTTCGCATTTATAACCATCTGCAGAAATTCAGAGATCTTCCCCAAGGATTCCTTAGCCATCCTTAAAGTAGTCTGGATTGTGTCATACTGTTTCTCTATTTCCTTGCTCCTTTGCTGATGGACATAAGAGAAAATTAAATGCTAACGCATAATGTGCAAAGCCCATGACACTCAACTCATCATCCATATATACACCCCAAGTTTCTGTTTGTTACAATACGTGTTTTTGTTATTTTAGTTCTTTTTCCACTTTTTTTTTTAATTCTCTGTATTTACCTGTGGAAGGATTCCCCTATTGTTCTGATACAGGTGGTCTTCGACTTATAACCATTCATTTAGGGACCATTCGAAGTCACAAATGGCACTGCGAAAAGTGACTTCTGACCCTTTTTCACATTTATGACCACTGCAGCATCCCCATGATCAAAGTTTTTTTAGAATGGTTGCGGCATGCTTGAGTCATGTGATTTCCTTTGGTAACCTCCTGACAAGCAAAACCTATGGGAAATCCAGATTTCCTTAACAACCATGTTACTAACTTAACAACTGCAGTGATTCACTTACCGTATTTTTCGGACTATAAGACGCACTGGAGTATAAAACACACCATGATTTTGAAGAGGTAAAATTAAAAAAAAAAGTTTTTGCACTCTGCAAGCTTCCCAAACCCTCTGCATGCCTCATTTTTTTTGCAAAAAAAGGGGGGGGCTGCAGAGGCTTTGGGAGGCTCTTATAGTGCTCCTGGGGGCTGGGGGGGGGGGCAAAATTGAGCAAATGTGTCCCATTTTTTTGCTTGTTTTTGCTCTCCCCAGCCCCCAGGAGCACTTTGCAAGCCTCCTAAACCCCCCCTGTATGTCCATTTTTGCAAAGAGGGTGGGGTTTCTGTAGACCAAAAATGCTGTATTCAGTTTATAAGACGCACCCAGATTTTCACCCTCTTTTGGGGGGGGGGGAGATGCGTCTTATGCTCCGAAAAATACGTTAACTGTGATGAGAAACAACTGTCTTGTTTAGCAACAGAAATTTGGGGTTCAACTGTCCAAATTTTGATCACGTGACTATACGGATGCTGCAATGGTCATAATTGTGAATAACGATCATGTCACTTCTCTCAGTGCTGTTGTAACGGTCCCTAAACAAACAGTTGTAAGACAAGGACTACCTGTATTCCCAAAATCCCTTGGAGCATAGTAGCTCATTCTGCAGCCCAAAATCTCGGTTTTTACCTGGGTTTCCTCTAAGTGATTACGGTTCAGGCTGTTGAGATCTTCTGTCTGTCGGGTTTTATTTACTGCTTCATTCAGGGCATCTCGTAGGTCCATCAAATCTGAGCTGTAGTGATCCAGCTGGTCATTGATTTGATTGACCAGTTGTTGGTTGGCCTCCAACTTGTTGAACAGCTCATTCCTCACACGGTTCAGCACTGTGAGAAAGAAAGCTTTAAAAGATTAGTGATGAACATCAAGAGCCCCATGATGGTTGAGGTTAAAATGGCCTCCATTCCAAAAGAGCAATGTTTCCAAAATGGCAGCTTCAAGACTTCTGCACTTCAATTCCCAGAATGCCTCAGTTAAACATGTCTTAAAGTTGCCAGGTTTGGAGACCCTTGCAAAAGAGAGAAAAGGAAGGCACGCTCTGAACAATTCTATCATTAATAAGGGGATACTATGGCTGCACTTGTTTTACAAATATTTTGGAGCAAATACTTTAGAATTCCTTGTATTAAGAAACCTGAATGTTATAATTAATGTGATTTTAAAGCAGTCACACTGGAAAGATGGCTTTCTCTTCTTCCCTCTTCTACTTGCTGTCATAAGAAATAATTTTAAAAAATCCAACACAACTTTAATATTGTTGAGCATTCATATTTATAGAAAGCCAAGATGTGCGAGACTCAAAAAGATGTTGAGACTCTAGAAAGAGTGCAGGGAAGAGCAACAAAGATAATTAGGGGACTGGAGGCTAAAACATACAAAGAACAGTTTCAGGAATTGGGTAAGTCTAGTTTAATTAAAAGAAGGACTAGGGAGGGACACATGATATCACTGTTCCGATATCTCAAGGGCTGCCAGAAAGAAGAGGGGAGAGGGGTTTCAACCTTTCTTCAAAGCACCCGAAGGCAGAACAAGAATGTTGATGTTAATGTTGATTTTATTTATATCCTGGCCTTTTCCCCCGAAGGGGACTCAGGGTGGCTCACAACTCAAAACCAGGGACGGGGGGTTACAGACAAAGTTAAAAACGACACAAAACAATACATAGTTTAAAACACACAGCAGTCATACCATTCGAGACGGGGGCAACGGTTCTTTAGCCCCAGGCCTGTCGG